CAGGCAACATATCCTAAGGGTGATTCAACATTATTCAAGTGAGGAATATTCGAACCACCCAAATCGAAAAAAAAGCCAAATAGTTGAAACTAAAAATACCACAAACACAACAATAATGTGTGTTAAACGACCTCTAAGGATCGAAAATATAACATCCCTGTTCGGGGGACTTTTTACAGCCTCTACAGGCACAAACACGCTGATGTGGCGATAAAATAGAATAAACCTGAACATACTTGATTCTCTTTACGTGAAAAAGTTGGTGCTAAGAATAAATGTGCTTTAAAAAGAATCGGCACGAAGTTAGCTGGAGGCCCGCAGTACATCACTTAACTTATCTACTAAGCAACCCAAATTAGTTCAAATTTGATTTCACTTAACAGATGAGTCCAAATATTTCAATAAAATCAAACTTGAGAAAAATGTACCATGATGTTTTTGAAAAATTTCAAGTTTCAAGATTTAAGTAATATTTTACATGTTATGTGCGATTAATGACTGACTTTTCAGTATTTACAATCACATTTCTTCTGCGTTACTAACGCAGTAAGGGCAATTTATGCATATTCTGACCATTTTTTGGTTATTTACATGGTTTGAAAGTTCCATTGATAATGTGTAAAATGCTTCCTTTACTTCACAATATTACACATTCAAATACATTTTCAAAATTTTCATGCAAATAAGCATGAATCTGGAGGCGTGCTGCTTTAATGTAAATGTAAAAAGGTGATTTTTAAAGTGTATGATAACCGCATATGATTATATATAAGTGTTTGTTACAAAATAGCACTAGCATATAAACAAGAGCGGAAACTTTTAAATATCTTGACATTTCTATAGCAACTATAATAACAAATTAGTGTATACACACATTTTCGTAAGCATCTTGTCATCATGTTGAACTTGAGTCGTTTTTGCAATAAATATATACAAAATATATTTGACTGTCCGGAATTCGTAGAATATTTTATGTTTTATATAACTCTAGGACAATGCTTGACACCAGTTACCGGTAAGTGATAAAGTACAAGTACATGTATCTTTTTTCCAATAAAATCTTTATTTCTCACTACCAAAGAACGGGTCTCTGGAAGTGTTAATATGTAACTAACATAAAGGCAAAAGAGGAGTTACAATACATGTACAATTGTTTCTTGACACAGGTGTGAATGTTACTGATTAATCAATAAATGTTCGTGTCAAAAAAGATTCTTTTATAAAGGTAGTCCATTTTTGTTGCATGTTTATTCCTTTATTACGTGAAATAATTTTGCTGATGGTCTGTCCATAAATTTTTCTGCCATCTTTTGTCCAAATTTTGGCAAATAGGAACAACAAAAAAATGTAGTAAAAGAAATAACAGTATTTCAAACAGATAATCATGTTAATGTTTTCCTGTAGTGAGATGTTACCAAGAAATGTGAAGCTTCTCTTATTCTAACTAGTTAGGGTATGGGGCCCATTTAGTTTTGAAGCAAATCAGAGGTGTCATTTTGCAACGTGCTGAAATCTGACACTTTTACCAAGGAGTCACAAGTCAATAAGAATTATCTGTCTCTGCGACATCTTCTTAGTTACATAATACTTAAAATAACCATTTATTTTAACCAAATGAATCGTTCCACAGTATGGTTGATTCTGTTTTCAATCGTAGAGAATGTCATTAGAAATGGTTTCCTTCAGAAATACTTGATGTCTTTACTATTAAATATGCCCACCCAATTCAAAATGGTTGCAATGTAATTACGCTTATAATGGGTAGTTGTTTGCATAGATATTGCAGTAGATATGTTGACTTGTTTTCATGCCATTATAAAGGAAAGAATGACATCCCTTTTCCAATGTGATATTCTTTTGAAGCAGACCTAAGCTGAATGTAACTGTAAAAGTGTATAAAAACAGAATAGATGGGACAGTCATTGCAAACAAGAATCGTTTATACCAAACGGTTATTTGAGTTTGTAGTTTATGAAACCAGATAAATCTAAGATGGGCCCAAAGATGACATCAAAAATTAAAAACTCCAAGAAAGGTTTGTCAATTACAATTGAATTGCCAATTTTTAATTCTTACAAGTGTCAGAAACACTCTTATCTACTGAAAAGAAAATATTTTCTTAACTTATTCGAAATATTGATTTTACTTGGTTTCTGGATTTAGCCAAGGTTCAAATTTAAGATTATATGTGACAAAAAGTACGAGTTCAAAAACTAATAACTGGCCTGATTATATAATCTTCAATTGATAGAAATGTTCTGGGATTATTCTTAACATGCACAGAGTGAGACGCAGGTACGTATTCATGTTTGAACTTGTTTTTAGCTAGATTATGGTCCAATCGAATTTAGTGTCATAGTTTAACAATTTACATATCTCTCTCTACGTCAGACAACATAGTAAAAACGTGTTCTCTTATTTGTCCTTGTAGAGCCTCTATGCAATTAGAAACTAGGGAAATCTGATTAAAATCAGGACAATTATTATTTTGACAGTCACCAAAACAAGGTCACCTCCTCGTGATCTTTCAATCAACCGATCAGCAACCAGCTTTCGTTTTCCTCAGATCGGATCAGTATCTATTTTTTAACCCTTGGAAAACCAAAACATGTGAACATGATTGAACGAAAATGCCGACACCCATGCTTTTTGGATAAATAACCTAAAGTCGATTAGATAAATATTACTAATAGATCTATACTATCGTGAAACGTAGTACAATAAATGAAGAATAAAAAACTATTTGTTTTGGGCAATTTCCTTGACCTGAGCCGCGCTTTTCGCTACAAACCCATGCTTTTTGGATAAATAACCTAAAGTCGATTAGATAAATATTACTAATAGATCTATACTATCGTTAAACGTAGTACAATAAATGAAGAATAAAAAACTATTTGTTTTGGGCAATTTCCTTGACCTGAGCCGCGCTTTTTGCTACAAACCCATGGAAGTCACACGAGCATGAAGGTTGTTGCGCTTGTGATGTTCGTACAGAAAGCCAACAAACTTGAATGCAACAGCTTAAGATAGAATGTGATGAGGTTTCCTAACATCAGCAAGATCTGCAAATTCATCAACAACCTTATACGTAACATGAAAAAAGGCCTTTAATGTTCGAATACTATGTATCAAAACCTGTTAGACAATACACAGAAAGCATGCACTAAACTCTGTTTACTGGAATGTATCTCTCGTAAGTGATCTGTACATACTTTACCACAAGGTTTGAAGTAAATAGTGTCTATATTCGGCTGCCAGAAATGGTTTTATAGAAGCACAAATATATCAGTATCAGGACTAAAAACATCGGTTAATTTTACACCTAGTAAAGCAGCATAAGCTTCGTGTAGAATAAACCTGCTGTAAGCTTGCTCATGACAGATCATTAGAGATAGTATATTCCACAGACGTATTACCTAAATCTCTAGATGAATACAGATAGTAGTGCTGACATCAAGTTTCATTAAGATACCTAGTAAGAAATGTCAGTGCACTTTTACTTTTTGTACTAGATACCAGTCTCTTCAAGCTACCAAATACATGTACCATATTGATGAAACTGGGATATTTCATAAAATTTAGTCGGGATATTTTCATTAAGATACATGATAAAAACATAAGGTATATAAGCAATTAACATTTGTAAATACGGCAATACATACTTAGCAAGTTATTTACAGAGAACAATCACATTAGTTATTCAGAAGGGTGGACCAACGTAAAATGTGTTAAACCTGACAGACAGACAACAAACAAATAACATTTATATGGCATTAAACAGATATATGTAGAATACAAAACAAAAATTGCAGATCAGCCTTTACCACTCTGTGGCTGCTATAACGATACCACAAGCTTTCTGTTGCAGCATGGTAGCACGTGCTCTGCTCTGACAACGTCATAATAAAGTCAAATTTCAGCATGGATTGAATATATTCCACAGATTTGGCGTAACCATCAGCGGCCAGGTCTTCCGATACTGTAAATACATGAACAGTTCTAAAACAAAATGTATTTTTATCGAATAATGTTTAAGAATAAGTTAATGTGTGTACTAACTGGTAAATAATGAAACGCTTGCTCTTTTTGAATTGATATACTGTCCTACAACCACTTGCCTACTAAGATCAGTGCCACTGACGCACCATTTATGTTTGTAACAATATTAAGCCGCTTTTAACATTTTAACACTTGTGGGGCGTCCACATGTCCCATTCGTAAATTTAGTTTGCATGAATTAAAAACAAAACCCGTGTATTGCATGTCTCAAAACCATAAGTACTGAAACATGAAGGTAAATGTTTTGATTCATGTGAAAATTGAATAAAAATACTTATTTTGATTGGCACGTATGAAAAATTCGATTTACAATTGACAAGGCCCTCGGAAAGTTGGGTCAAAGTCTTAACCCCGAGTGACAGTGCCATTATACAGGCTGAGTGTGAAATGGTTTTAGTTCATTTTACTAGAAAGTTTTTTGTTTTTTTTTATTATTGTTTTTTTAATATGATTTCTTTTTACCTTTATAAATATTATAAATATTTTGTATAGTTTATGATATATAAAGCTCCACAGATGGTATTGTATAAGAAATAGAGAACAGTAGAACAAACATGCCTCATAGGCATTATAATTATACCTCAATTAAAATTTAATGTGTTTCTTCTTTATTCATAAAAGTGTTAATAATGATGTTTCCAAAACATAGTTCAAGAACGTCTGGGCGCTATAATTTAACTGCTTGGAAGATTATGATTTTTTTCCTCGTAGAACTTTAACCATTATTATATGCTCAAGTAAAGTTTGGTATGCTTTAAGAAAATTTATGTAAGAAAATGTATTCAGTACCTCGGTCATAATATTACACCTTAAATAAATCTGCTTATGTAACTTACCGATTTAATATATATAGTGGTGTCCAACCAAAGGACTCTTATTGCTCGATTAACTTATTGAACAATTTGTAAACAGCCCAAAAAATAAGTAAAGTAGATCCCCTAGACGCCGAGGGTATCCGAATATAAAAAATGGAACTAAAGTTTTGATTTTCAGAAAATTGCATGTTTCTAAAATAAAACCAATGTTCTTTCCATTTTAAATTTACACATTATAAAAAACAGGATGTCAATACATTACTCCTAAAAGAAGGCTATGCAATAGACAGATACCTCAAGCGTCTTTACTTGTGCATCGCGACTGGTGTGATGAAGTTAGCAGATGTTTTACTGTTTCATTTCATATTTTTTACAGTTAGAAGTTTATTAAATTGTCACTGCTTTAATGTCAATAAAGTTAAATATTTACAAGCCCTATTACTTGGAAATTGGAAAGAAGCCTTAAATTTTCATTTAGGAAAAAGTGAAATGATATTTAGATTTGTAAAATCAAATTATTTGAAATTGATTTAAATCTATCAGTACAGTAACAGGAATTGTAGTCCTATAAATATGACGTTTTGCTTCTGGGCAAAGCATCATCATATCGAAATTTCTCTAAAACACATAGCACGTTCGCCAGAAAATCAGGCGGAACAAACAAACAAGACAGCGTGTATTTACATTAATTTTGACCTATTTATGAACAAAACTAAAAAAAATTCCTTTTGACAAAATAATTAAACTGTCACATCCCAAAAATCATGATTAAATCTCATGTATAATATAATTAAATTCCTTATACAGCCAATAAACAAATGGCCGCATACATTGTGTGAAATCTGATTGGCTAATGCAAGCGTTTAACTGAATCAGAAGATTCTAACAGATTTTTTTTTACGAATTAATTGCCCATGCACCGTCAGCCTTTTCGAATATATTTTTCTGTTCAAAAATTTGGAATCAATCTGTAAAACGCCTTACTTAACCAGTATGGCCGATAGACAAAAATAGATTGATGTTTATATTTTATTTTAAATTGACAAGTACATTATTTAGAGAGTTTTGTTTAATGTTTGACTTTGAGCATGAAATTGAAAGAAAAGAAGATAAGCTTTTGAATAAAGCTTGAAAGGCAAGACATTATTTAGATTTTTTTTTATTATTTATGATGCTATGCGTTTATGAGCAATAACTTTTAGACGTCAGGCTTGACCGACATAAACTATAATAAGCCTGTAGCGTCTGATATATTGGACTACAGTAATTGGGGATTTCCAGTCAACTTATCCTGTGGTCAACTCCTCACCATGTTGGATCATTTTGTCCCGTGGTCAACTCATCCCATAACTCGTCCCCTATTTTTTATTATTAATATTTTAATTTAAAAAACAGAAGTGGCTAGCCGTACTGGATGGTACGGTTAGTCAAAAGTTCTAGCCATACTCTAGTCACATACTGCTAGCCAGGACATACTGTATTGTCTAGCCGTACAGCATTTTTCAATATTATATGAATGTTGAAAATGCATATATGTTATTTTTTTGTCTTTAAACAAGGATTTTAATCAAGTACCCTCATTCCTCCTCTGTATTCACTTTAAGATAATTATTTTCAGAAATATGACTATAAAATAGGAAAATAGTAATATTAAATGGTTCAGTCTGTAGTTTATGACATATATGAAAAGTAAAAGTTTTTTATTTAATATGATTTTATGAATGATATTTGCCTCTGATGTGATTAATGTTTACAATATTTTTCTTCCATTCTAATTCATTTGAATATGTCTTATGCATGCAGTGTAAGAAATTAGGATTTGAATCAACTAGGCTAGTCGGACTACCAGATTGGAATATTCACTAGCCCAAAACTAAGCACGAGTCATTTGTTCATAACAGTTGTTTATATTGCCTCTGAAAATACAGTAGCCTGGTCGGGCTTGTTACTGTGGAAAGTTGGTAGCCCGAGGAGAAAATTAGTAGTCTAGGGCTATAGGACTACTGCTAATTTCAAACACTATGCATGATCCCTACATTTTTATGTAAGAAAATTTTGTCATTTCAAATAGATTACCTACATTGTAGCTGTATAAAAGAAAATTGAGTACTTGAAATGTAGTTTTTTAACTTTATATATTTCATATAAATAATTGAAGCTGCATTTTGTTTTGTTTCAGAATGGAGAGTATAAAGAAGGATGTGTGTGAGTTTGTGTGGATAGGTAGAGTGTGTCAGGTTATAGATCCACATTACTTCTGGATGCAGCTGGGCACCAGTAAGACTATTATTATAAATCATTTTCACACTTCAAGACACTAGTTCAGTTGTTTTAAGGGATGTCTATTTTATTCCTAGATATTTTGCCCCAAAAATGCACCTTAATATGGAGATATAAGTACAACTGCTAAGTAGATAGTTACATTTAATAATGATCAATATGTTTTAATATCACAAAATATCAATATATTTGTTAGAATCATTATCAGTATTTATAGGATGGTATAAATATTAGTTTAATAAGTAATAAGATATAGACAAGAGAAGTTTTTTATCAAATGATAGAAACAGTATGTTAATAATTATTAGCTCAACTATTCAAAGAATAGGGAGAGCTATTGTATTCACCCCAGACTGAGGCAAATTGGCAAACACACTTTTGGTTTAAATTTTTGGCAAGTTGGAAAAATTTTACAAAACTACTTTAAAGAAGAAAAAGGGGTTAAACTACACACACTTGTTCTCTTTTTTGATTATTTTTTAACATGATGCTCCCAAAATTTGGGAATTCTGGTTTAAATTTTGAAAAAGTTAAATTTTAACTTTATTTGCTTTTAGTCAAGCACTGAAGCAGTCGGCTGCCTTTAATATAGTTTTTTGTTAGGTTTAAAAATTTTTTTATTTCATTTAAAAAAATCTTTTAATTAATCTTACTTAAATTTATTTTTTTGGGAAATTTTCTTTTTTGAAAAAAAGAAATTTAACATTTTCTTTTTTATAAGGGGGAAGTTTAAATTTTTCAGGTTTTAAACAAATAATAAAAAAATCACTTGCTTTCAAACAAAACATGGTACAAATGCAGTGAAATAATGCCAACATAAAGAATTTGTTCATTTTCAGGGGAAAATTTACTTCAGTTTGAGCAGCTACAAAAGGACATGCAAGCATTTGTATACCAGGGTTGGTCGTCGGCAACAAGTATAGATGATCTTGAACCTGGCACTGTTGTTTTAGTAAAATCTGACTCTGAAAAGGGCACATGCTTGAAAAGAGGACAAGTGGCTCGTGTGATGCAGTAAGAATTTGTAGTTATTTTAGACTTTAGTTTGGTGAAGACTTTAGTTTGGTGAAACCATGCACTATAGTGATTAGTTGGCATTAAATTCAAAGTCATGGTTTTGTGTGTAGGACATCATTTCATGATTATCCAATAAGTAAAGCAAGACTTAAAACTTAAGTCATAATCACGCATGAATGAATATCTTTGAATTTGGTGAGACATATAAATTAGGGCCGGGAATTATATTCGAATATTTGAAACACTACCGAATATTCGAACATTGAAAAATGAATACGAACATTCGAAAAAAAAAATTGATATTACTTTCAAATTCAATTAATATCGTAAAATGACGTAAATAAAACCATTGACCTTTATTTGACCAGGTGTTCACACGTTTGTATGACACGTGTCAACGATAATCGCCAATTAACTGTGAAAACTTTGGGGTCTAGTTGATCAAAAGGGCCCGTTTCACAGTTTGCAATTTACCTGTTTAACAGTTTAGATTTTTTTCCGATTTTAATTACCGTATCTTATTTATTGTTTTCTGTGCTATAATCTTTCCTATTAATCAATGTCTTAAATTTTGTGAAGAAGAATAAATCGGCATGTATTAATCGGCGGCTATGAAAGCATGGGAATTAAGTGTCTATATTCCGTCAGAATATATTTATTCCGTAGATATTACACTCCGTGTGATATTTACTGCATTATAGCTAAATTTATTTTAAGATTATTTGAAACCGTATCTAAAATTATAAATAAATATAAAAAATAATACAAGTTAAATATTTCAATATAATTATTTGTTATTGCGGCTAAGAGGCTACGATGATTCATATTACTGTCAATCAAGTCACGCTAGTTACCTCCCGTCAATAAGACAAATGGGATTAACTGAAAAAAGGCAATAAAATTATGAATTTATTTCAAATCGTAAACATATATGTCGAATTACAATATATGAAAATTTTTAAAAAATGACGTAGTAATGAAGGTATTTTAATCGTCGATTATTACAAGCATATTAAAGTAGAATAGTATTCGACGCACGTATAGGTCAAAGAGAAATATTGGAACAAATGTTGTAAAAACGAATATTCGAATATATTCGAATATGGAAAACGAATATCAACATCAAATTCCTTATTCGTTCCCAGCCCTAATATAAATAGATGAGAGATATATTTTATTTTAAAAATCTGTTTCAAGAGTGGCAGATTGTTTTGACCAGTTATTTGTTTCTACAGTTTATGTTAATAAGGTAAATCATTGAGGCATTCATTTTTTTAAAACACATTAATTTTATGGGTGGCAACGAGTTATCAGTGAACTGAGTACTCGATGGAATGTTCAAAGTATCGGTTAACAAAATTGATATTCGATTACTTGCAAAAAATATATAATTTCTATATTTTTTTGTGATTTAGAAAAAAAAGGAATTAGTGTATTCAATTAGTTCAGAGGTGTATATTTATCTTCCATAAAATTATTTAAATTTAAACATGCTTTCATTCGGCCTCTTATGATACAATTAATTGTTGCATTTTATTGTAAAATATAATGTTGTTGATTTAATTTTAATTAATTTTGTATTTAATTTGGGCTATTTCTAAAGTTACCTCCCTTGCAGTCCTATTTATAGTTACGTTTTTCCAATTTTATATCTGAGGTAAAACCCTTTTCCCCTTCTATATAAACCGTTCATTGTTTCTTTGAACTCCAAGGGAATAAAAACTTAGATATTTTGTGGTTGAGATTTTGTGACTAGAAAGAAGAGTTGAGGTCAAAGGTCAAGGTCACTTAGGCCTTAGCACTTAATAGTTTCTAAGATTCAAAAGAGAATTCATTTGCCTACAGGAACTGAGATTTGGTATTTAGATTTGTAGTTAATAATAGATGAAACCCCTAAATGATATTGCTGTCAGTCCAGAGGTCAGAGGGGGCCGAAAGGTCACTGTGGACCTTGACCACTAAGAGCTTGTCCAAGCAATAACTAGAAAACCACATTGATAGGGTTATAAAGGGTTGGATCAATTGACTTTAAAGATGTCCCAGAGATTTTTGTCAGTCGGTCAAAGGATAAAGTCATCACTAAAAACCCTGTTAATCAAATAATTAGAAAGTGCTTTGGCGTTACAGAACAGTCTTGACCTAAGCTAAGTGTCTGACGTAGGATTAATCAGTTGGACATAGAACTTGTATTTTTGGAAAAATTTTGCAAAAACAATCTATTCTTTTTTGTTAACATTTTGATCAATTCATTGTGATTTTCATTTGCAAGTACAGTTTTTCACATTAGGTTTGTAGCATTTATAACAAATTACTATTCTTTTTAATGACTTAGGGCTAATGACCGCTTAAGTTAATTATAATTCTGATTTCTGTTTTAGGGGTGATTCTGTTGATGTGTTCTATGTAGATTATGGAAACACAGAACTGAAGGCAATTGACAAGATCTGTATCAATGTGCCAGCAAAATTTAAGTTGTGTCCACCGCAGGCTGTTAGATGTAGTTTAGCTGGAGTAAAACCTGTGAGTTGATAATCTGTGATGATCACATTGTTTTGTTTGATCTGTTGTTACATGAGGTTTAAAATCATTTAAAGAGACAGTGATATCTATTCCTTAATAGTAATTTAACTTTTTAAACTACAAGTTCAGTCTTCGACTTAACCCACTCGACCGACGACCGAGTCGAGTAAATTTGCGGGTGGTCGAGTGAAAATTCCAAGCTGGTAGCCCGTCTGGTCGAGGGCTTTTTTCATATCCAAATTAAGAAAATGTTCGAAATATGCAGAGCTCCAGATAGCAATGTTTTGGCTTTATGAAAATACAATATATTTCTGCTGAATTGGATGGAAAACTAAAAGTACTATTGTCAACACTGCTGTAAGTTGAAAACGAAAGTAGCAGGAAGTGACATCGAGTAAAAAGGGAAGGTAACTCTTGGGAGTTTCTGAAATGAAATTATTGATAAAGTTAAATTTGGTGTAATCATCGTAGGACTTAACCTAATATTCAATTTGTTTAGACATATATTATAATGTTTTTGCTACAAAATAAAGAAAAATGTTGTACTTGCCACTTTAGTTATTGGAAAACATATTTCTCTCTTGCCATCTGCAGTTTTGTACTCAATATTTTCGTACCAAGTTTACAGTTACGGACAATTTCCTCAAAGACTAATTCTTTGTGTATAAAAGTTTTAATTTTATTATATTTATTTTTCATTAATTCTAATTTCAATTTATAAATAATCAAACCAAAGAACGGCACTAAAATGTAGTCTGTAGAAATAGAGTATGAATAAAGCCTCATGCTGACCATGTAGCTGATTGTAAAAGAATGTGACACATTCAAACAACAACATGTCACCAACAAAAAATGAGTCTTGTCATTAATTTGCTGTGTAACCTAAACAAACCCTAGTCTAGGGAAGCCTGCCTTAACTGAGCAAATTTTGTATTATTTCACATTGAATCAATATTTTATTATATAAGTCAGTCTGATTTATGTAAAGAAAGGAACTTTTTAGAAGGCAATGAAATTTGATAACAAAACAATGCAAATTCTTTTTATAAATTTTACCCCAGAATTTTTCATTTTACTCTAGATTTTGATGGGTAAACCACCTTGGCCCTAAAAATTATTTGCAGCTTTATTGAACTTAAAACGCTTATGAAAATATGATTGATTGTTAGACATTTATTAGGCGTCATCTCATGCTTCACAATATGTCTTTTTCTTGTATTTTGAAGGCACTAAGCCAAAAAGGAACACACCAAAAAAAAAAAAATAAAAGTAATACTAAAAGGAATATAAATATGTTGTCAATGCATGTATCAGCCGACATGGTTACAGTAAACGAGGAGAAGAGTATTTTCAGTTTTTAAACAATTTTTTTCAGTGTCTGTGGACAATGCCACAGAAATATCAAAATATCTTCTTTTCATATGTAGTTTAAACTCTTCTTATTTAAATAATGAAAGGAAGAAAAGTTGATTAGTTGATATTTTAATAATGTTAAATGGTATATAAAACATATAGAAAGTGTTATTTTGTACAAAATGTATGCAAAAAATACCATTTTGGTACGGGCTAGTTAAAATGTGTTCGGGCTAGTGAAATTTGTAAGCTGCTAGCCCAACTGGGCTAGTGCTGATAAAAAATTAAGGCGAAGACTGCAAGTTGTTCATAGCTATTGTTTGAATAGTTTGTCTTTCCATTAGTTTGGCAACTCTTGTTTTATAACACCTTGCACTTCATAGCAATATTGTGACATTTAAATAAACAGTTTTGTTACTTTTATAAATTTTGTTATGTAATAAACTGTACAGTCAAATACAATGACTAGTAATTTGAAAAACTTGAAAGGCTAAAAAATAGAATTATTTTAGCCAGCAATGTAATGTTTAGGTTTTATGAAGTTCATTTGTTATATACATGTATGTATTTCAGCTTGTAAAAAGTTGGACAAGTAGAGGTATTAAAACATTTCAACAGTTTACTGGCAACAAGCTGCTGAATGTTCTGGTGCTATATGGAGAGCCAGGCTATTATGAAGTAGCCTTGTATCCAAGGTATTAAAATAATGCATGTTTGTAACATCCGTTTTCATTAGATAATTGTGACTTTTAATACACTGTAGCCTCAATATATCGCTCTCCGTTATAACGCTAATCTCAGTATAGCGCTCATAGACCTTGGCTCCAAAAAAAAAATTAGGTAGATCTAGATTGATAGCCCGCTATAACGCTTGTTCAATTTGACAGTCAAGGACAATAAACAATTGTAATTAGGACATTTATGAGCGGCAAAGGTGTGAAAAACATGCCCAGGTTAGCGTTTATCCGCTCTTTTGTTATTTTACCTGTCCATCAGTCAGGCATCAAATTGTTTCCAAAATCTCAAATTCATATCATAACTGTAACATGGGCAACCGGTGGTGAGTATAAATAAACTAAAATTCACACACATATCTGTGACATGTAAACCTCGGTGATTTAAATTACCCACACAAGCCCAAAATCAATTTAAAATCCTGCACTGTAAATAGAATGGCCTAGACAGGAAATAAATGACGTTTGATTAACTAGGGGACACAACTAAAGCTAGACTGTAAATTACAGTGTAATGGCTAACTGTTTACACTACATTCATGATTTATGTTTTTCTTTCGAAAGTTTTTTGTTTCTTTTAAATATAATTAGTATTATTTGTGAATATAATATATGTTTACATCATGGAATTGTTTTAGAAAAAGATAATGTTGATATTCGTTGAACAGTAAGTAAAAATCGTCGGCGTTATATATTTAGGCGGTGGGTGGGGTAATGTGGTAATTTCGCAATGAGAGTTCTAATGAGAGCCTTGTTAGAACACGTTGTTGAGACATTGGACCCCAACATGAGTGCTATAATGAGGCTGTAGTGTATATAGTGCCATATACACAGCTCCTGTCAATTTATGAAGAAGTTTCATCTTTGCTTTAAAGTTTGCTGTTTTATAAATTCTTTATAAAGATCCATGACATATAAATGTTTGTTTGAAATATAACCCTCAGTCACCTAGCAGCTCAGGTTATACATGTATATTCAAGCAATTGTTTATATAGGACCATATAAGTGCAAAAACTAATAGTAATACTATAATTTTTATTGAAAACTGAGATTACAGGAGAAATGTGTGAAAATTATTATTTTCTTGTGAGAGATAAAAATGTGATTTTGGTGCTGCTTGTTTGTGTTTGACTGCCTATTTTAACACAAAATTGGTCATATCTCAATAGTAAGTACATCAAACAATATTTCCTGGATAACTAACCAGTAATTACCAATTACCAGCTCCTTATTCCACTTAATTTCTGAGTCTAGCATGTGAGACAAAAATACATTTGTTATTGAAATTTGTTGAAATTTAAATGGACTTTATTAGATTCAAGATGGTGCAAATCCATGATAGAAGTTAAGCAGTTTAAATGATTAATTATTGATGCCATGTCTCTGACAGATGGACATATGTATTTCTGAATCTAGGGTGTGAGACAAATGACTATTGACTCAATGTGAGAGATCAATTTCAAGATGGTAGTTAGTCGAAATATTAAGGAAAAAAATATTTAGCTGAAATTTATCTACATTTATGTGATAAGATAAAAAATGGTTCAAGGATTCATTAAAAAAAATATTATCAAAGCAAACTACCTAAATTTTAATGACAGGGATATAATGCCCACCTCAAGTCTGTTTGTCACTCAAATGGACAGTTTTAGAATAAAAAGTTAAAACAGAATTTTACACTCCACTCCGTATTGTTTGTTAGATAAATGAGAAAAAATCAGATTACCTACACATGTATAATATAAAATTGTAAAACATAAAAATCTCCAGCTCAGAGGGTATAAATCTATATCTTATGAAGTATTTTTATGAAATCTATCAACAGTAAATTTATATTGGTGTCATTATTATATGGTTGTTTCCCGAAAAAGTTGTAACATAGAATGTCTCTGTAATTTAACAAACATGAAAATTGTACGTATACAGAATAAAATGTTCTGAAACAAAATATTTGCTATTTTAAGTAGGGCTTTATCCGTTTAGCAATGGTTTTGTGCATGCGCAATTCACTTTTAAGGCAATTATCTAACATGATTATATCATACAAGCATTTTTAAAATTCAAACAATTATTTTTGAAGCAGGTATATAGCTTTATACACTTTAACAAATTTCGTTGCATAGAAGAGTTAAATAAAAAATTATAGTGAATAAAAATGTGTTGTTATAGTCATGAAGATAATGGTAGGTCAGTGGGACACAGTCTAGTAACAGAGGAAGTAGCCATGGTGAGTAGATAGAAATATATTTCAATTTTGAATGTGTCATATTATACAAAGAACATCAGAACACAAGGCTATCTGATTTGTATTAGGGGATATAGCTTTCAAGTATAAATCTGATTGCCTTGTGTTTTGATTTTCTTATTTGTATCGTATGCAAGAATTAAAACATTTTCGCTGTTGTAAGAATATTAAGCCCAAGAAAAAGTAACCAATGTAACAGTATCTGAATACAATTTTTCTTTTGTTATCCCCTTTCCATGTGTTGCAATAAGTAATCCCCAGTAAATGTAATCATGCTCTATTTTTATCTCTGATAGACAGTGCGGTAATTGGAGTATGGGTAACATATACCTGCACTTCATTTTACGCACTGTGTACTTCAAAGTATACAATTAAACTCTGATACATTTTAGATAGAAAGCTCGCCAAACTATGAAACATTAATAAATATATTTAATATTGCATGTTTATATGATTTTAGAATTACAGTTTATCACTCTAGTTTTAATTCTTCTTTGTGATTAAATCAGGATGACAGATTTTAAAGTCTCATCAAAGAGTTTTTATATTTCGATATTTCCAATATTACATGTGTATTAGCAAAAGACAGTTGAAGTTTATGTTCTTATAGGGTGTTTAGTAAAATGTCTTATGGTCTTTTGGCCCTTGCTATTACGTATGAAGTGTTATTTTGTATTTGTGCATGACAGAGTACTAACTAATCAAGTGAAATGTGACAGAAAGGTTTAATATGCCAGATATATCATTAAAGTTTGTGGACAACCAAACATCTTCAAGTTATATTGATGCAATGGCTGTAGAAATTTTAGTGTGATAATAAATAATGTGTATTGACTCAAAGTGGAGTGTCACAATGTCACTTTCACACATAGTCACTCTATACCAGTTACCAAGGCAACATAAGATGTCACCAACAGAACACTTTGAAAACATGCCATTAAGTTGATACATTTTTAGCTCACCTGAGCTCTTTGTTCTCGGAGATGAGCTTTCATGATGGCAGTTTGTCAGGCATTGTCCACAATTACTTTAAACAACATCTCCTAATTCACTTGATGGATTGGAAGCTTACTTCACAGGAATGATACTTAGGTGGTCCTCTACAAAACTTATATAAAAAATGATACTTAGGTGGTCCTCTACGAAAGTTATATAAAAAATGATACTTAGGTGGTCCTCTACGAAAGTTATATAAAAATGATACTTAGGTGGTCCTCTACAAAACTTATATAAAAAATGATACTTAGGTGGTCCTCTACGAAAGTTATATAAAAATGATACTTAGGGGTCCTCTACAAAAGTTATATAAAAATGATACTTAGGTGGTCCTCTACAAAAGTTATA